AGTCCTGGGTCTTGTGACCAAGCCTTAACTTAGGTGCCGCAATAGCAGACCCGAAGACTTACAGCTCTAAACTTTGAGTGCTGGGGCTCTGTTACTTCAGGCTTTAGCACAGACATAGGGCTCTCGGCCACAGGTTGGAGACGTATTGCTGTGGGATAACCACCAGTTCTCGTCATCTCTAGTGTCTGTCAGCAGTGAGTGGAAGCAGAGCGGCGGCAGGCAGAGCCTGGGAGGGCTCCAGCTGTTGGGCAGGCCCGCAGGGACAAGTGTTCTAGACTCGTTTCTGCTGTCATAATAAAACACCCTGACAGAGAGCCACTTAGGGGGGAAAGGATTTATTTTCACTCACTTCCAGACTGCAGTCCGTTGTTGTGGGGAAGTCAAAGCAACAGGAGGAGCCTGAAGCAGCGAGTCTTGTGCACAGTCAAAATCAGAGAGCATTGGATGCACGCCTGCTCTGGTGGATTGGGAGGAGATGGCCCCCAAAGGGAGTGGCACTCTTAGGAGGTGTGGCCTAGTTGGAGTAGGTGTGGTCTTGTTGGAGGAAGTATGTCACAATGGAGGCGGGCTTTGAGGTCTCATATATGCTCAAGATACCATCCAGTGTCTCAGTCCACTTTCTGTTGCCTGCATATCAAGATGTAGGCAGTACCACGTCAGCCTGCATGCCGCCATGCTCCCCGCCATGATGAGAATGGACTCAACCTCTGAAACCGTAAGCCGCCACCTCAGTTAAAGGTTTTCCTTTGTAAGGTTGCCATGGTCATGGTGTCTCTTCACAGCAGTAAAAACCCCAATTAAGACACCTGCTTGTCCTCAGCTAACTAATTCCACCCATTCAGTTCAGGGTCCCAAACCCAGGAATGGTTCTGCCCACTTTGAGGCTGAGTTTTCCCACCTCATTTAAGGTCATCAAGACAACCCCCCACAGGTCAACCTGACCTAGATAATGTCTCATAGAGATTCTCTTCCAAAGTGATTCCATGTTGTGTCAAGCTGACAAATAAAACTAAACATCACACAAGTATCATAACTTTTAGGAGTAGGCTCTCTTAGACCCTTGGCCCTTAAATCAAACAAGATCTCTAGGACAAATACAGTGACCACAGCCCACAGTCTCTCATCTTCAATCACCATTGACCCATTGCCTCAACTTCCTGTGTTTCTAGACGCTCTCTGAAGCTCGTGGCTGCTGCTGCTGTCTCCACTGTGACCATTCTGATGTAGTCCTCTTCCTGTTACCAGCTTTACCCACTCTACTAATGGTGACGATCTAAAGTGAGAAATAACAGAGACTTTAGAAGGCTAAAATGGGGGGGGGCAGCCAGGGTGTCTCGTGTCGGGTCTCAAAGTGAAGCACAGCCTGCTCGTATAGTCAGAGTGGAGCTATGGTAATGGTGCTTGCCTAGATCTCCACAGAACTTCATGCACACAAAGGCTGGGTTTGCACCAATCACAGACCTTTTGCTGGGCCTCGAGGAGAAGTACTGCCTTCTTCCTTGGGTGAAAATAACTACAGAGTCATCGAGATTTCGCCAAGGCTTGTGGTGACAAAATTGTGTCCGGGGTAAGCAGTTTGAAGCAGTCACTTCGGCAGTGAGCAGCTGTAGTTCCAGTGTAGCTGCCTCAGGAAGATCGTGGGGTTTTCAGCACAGCTGGGCTGCTGGGAGGGCACTTTTGGCTGATCATCAGGCAGGGGTCTAACAGCTGTCAATTAGGAAGTCAAATCAGCTTGGCCTCCGAAGTCCGACAGTTTCAAAGGGAAAAGGACTATGGGAGGGGTTTGCACTGAAGGCCTACCCTGAGCAACGACAGCTATGTAAGTCTTCAGTGGTGCTGAAAAGGCTCAGCACTTTTATTGCCCCAGGGGAGATGAGACCTTCTCATTTGTCCTATTTTCAATGATTGTACCACATTTGATGTTGGCTGTTAACTATCTACCTAACCCTTCTCCAGTAGCTCTAGCTGTCCAGTCACATATTTAAGGTTTCATCTTCCTGATGTGATTTGAAGACTTCTTAATTTCAGACGTGACATCATGGCTAGTTTTTTTTTTTTTGTCAACTTGTACAAGCTAGAATCATTTGAGAAGAAGAAACCACAGTTGAGAAAATGCCCCCACTGGATTGGTCTGTGGGCAAGCCTGTGTGTGGCATGTGAGGTCCCAGCCCATCAGGGACAGTGCTACTCCTGAATTCCATGGTCCTGGGTTGTAAAAGAAAGCAGGATAAGTAAGCCACAACAAGAAAACCAGTAAGAAACACCCCTCCATGCCCACTGCATCGGATTCCTGCCTTCCCTCAGTGATGGACCATGACAGAGTTGTAAACTGAAAGAAAAATTTTCTTCCCCAAGTTGCTTTTGATCATGGTATTTCATCACAGCAATAAAAACCTAATTATGGCAGAAATTGGTACCAGGAGTAGGGTATTGCTATAACAGACTTGACCATGATTTTTTTTTTTTTGAAGGATTGTGGAAAGACTTTGGAGTTTAGGCTGAAAAAGCCATAGAGTGCTCAGAGTTCAATGGTTGTTCTGTGGGAGCTTGAAAGATCAGAATACAGAGAGCTATGAATTCAATGGAAGCCTGGCTTGTGAAGTTTCAGAGGAAAACTTGAGAGTTCTTTTTTTTTTTTTTTTGTTTTTTTTGTATAGGGTTTCTCTGGGTAGCTTTGGTGCCTGTCCTGGATCTTGCTTTGTAGACCAGGCTAGCCTCAAACTCACAGAGATCCGCCTGGCTCTGCCTCCTGAGTGCTGGGATTAAAGGCGTGCGCTACCACCGCCCGGCAATTTCAGAGTTCTTAACATCCTATTTGGGTCACTCAATATTTTGAAGTAAGAATCTCAGTCTGGTTAGTTGGGGCTGGAGAATTGGCTGAGATGAACAAGGAGCCAGAACTTCTGAAGTTAAACTTGTGTTTTGCTGGGTTAATGGACACTGGTCATCTGGGGCTGCAGAAGACCGGCCTTATTAAGGTGAAACTTTCTGAGAAGTATTTCCTCAGGGTCAGCACACAGAACTTGTGTTCCAGAGGGGGTCAAGGATGTACCTCACTCACGATGCCAAATGAACTTGGTAATGTGTAAGAGTTTCCCAGGAGTACTGCTTTGGCAGGCGTGAAGGGGTCATGGAGAAAAGCTGAGGCTTAGAGTCATGAGAAGCCAGGAGAGGTCGTTAGTGAAGGGAAGCCGCGTCAGTTCTGCCTCCAGGTTCCTGCCTGGAGCTCCTTCCCTGACTTCCGTCAGTGATAAAGTGTGACTTGAGAGTCGTAAGCTGAAATAAACCCCTTCCTCCCCAAGTTGCCTTTGTCATGGCATTTTCCTACAGCAGCAGAAACCCCAGCTAAGTTGCATGACGATATGTGAGTGGCTTGGCATCGGACTTCCTAGCTTGGCTCTCGATTGGCTGCCTCACCTGACAGCACCACAGGATTTTAGTCATGATAGCTCATGATCAATTTTAGGTTAAACGTTTGCCTTTCGGCTTGAAATGTTGTGTTGGTCTGGTTAACTGCCACAACATCTTAGAAAAAACCTGTAGGGAGCTCATCAGTTTCTGATGCTGAGTCTTGATTCTCAAGGGGACAAGCTGCCTGAATGAGCACACTCGCGTGCGTGCGTGCGTGCGTGCGTGCGTGTGTGTGTGTGTGTGTGTGTGTGTGTGTGTATGTGCATGAAGACCAGAGGGGTTATTCCACCTTGATTTTTTTCAGGCAGGGTCTCTCACTGGCCTGGAACTCACTGAGTCGGCCAGGTTTCCCCTTCCTTCCATGGTATGAAGACTTCCAGGATGAATGGGGGACTCTGCCTGTCCCCACCTCTCCAGTACTGGGATTATAAGTATGTGTCACTATGCCCAGCATTGTTAAGGGAGTTCTAGTGTTTGAACTCAGGACCTTGTACTTACATAGTGGACACTCCATCACTGGCTAATCTCCCACTCCCCACCCCTCTTAAGACAATCTCATGTAGCTCAGGCTGGCTTTGGAAAGGCTATGTAGCCAAGGGTAACCTTGAACTCAAGATCCTCCTGCCTCTAGCTCCCAAGTGCCGGGACTACAGGCATACACAGTTAAACCTAGCTTGCCTTTTCAATTAGTTAAAAAATCTGTCTTGCAGAAGTATTTTACAGTTCCTTTCATGCTGAAATTTTACATTTCGTGTTCATCCAATTCCTTGGGACTTTACAGTTCTATTGGTATTTCAGAGTCTTGGCTTCCATTTTCTCTTCTGCAATTTGTTTTCACCTGTCCTTAAGAAAGATGTAGATTTTTGTTATGGTATTTCTGTATTTAATCACTACCCACATTCTCCTCTGGCTCACAGCAACGTTAACTTGCTTTTTCCAGGTGCAGTCAGGTGGTCTAAAAATGGTACTGATATTGTTTCTTCGTTTTCAGTTTGACTGCCTCTTGTTCCGTCTCTTCACTGCACCTGCCAGCTCCTCCACAGATAATGGGACCCCCCCTCCCCCACCCCAGCTTCGGAGACAGGGTTTCTATGTAGCTCTGGCTATCCTGTAACTCACTCTGTAGACCAAGCCGGCCTTGAACTCACAGAGATCCACTTGCCTCTGCCTCCCAAGTGCTGGGATTAAAGGTGTGCGCCACCACACCTGGCTCCTTTTATTTTCTTAAGAGATGATGTCTCACTGTGTTTGGCAACAAGTGCCTCTTATGCTTGAGCAGCACCCCAGCCTCAGCCTTTCAAGTATGTGGCCCCCATTTTTATATTTCCCATATTGCTTTCTCTTGAGTGTCTAACCAGGCTTAATTTTTGTTTTGAGGGACTTGAGGTTAAGATTTCCCCATGAATCCCATAGGTAAGGTTTCCATTGGGTTCTAGTTCATAACACTCCTACCTTCCAGTGAGCAGGAATGCCTCATTCCATCAAGCCTTTCTTGACAGGTGCCTGTCATGTCAGAATCTGCCCCGGGTATCTAGAGATTTGCTCCTAGTAGCAATGATGAAAGCAGAAGCTTTAACCTTTTCTTCTCTCTCCCTCCGTCTCTTCCACTATATAACTGTAATCATCACCACAGTTTTTTTTTCTAATTTTAACTTTTATTTTATGTGTATGGGTGTTTTGCTTGTTCATTTCTATTCACCATGTGCATGCCCCATGCCCTGGTGCCTACTGAGGCCAGAAGAGGGAATCAGATCCCCTGGGACTGGAGGAGTTTCAGAGGATTGTGAGCTGCCAAGTGGGTGCTGGGAATTGAACTTGGGCCCTCTGGGAAGACCAGTCAGTTCTCTTAACGTCTCTACAGTCTGTGCAGGTTTTTTTTTTTTTTTGAGACAGGACCTCAGAAATCCCAAGCTGGTTTTGATCTTTCTATGTAGATGAGAATGTCTTGGGACTTCTGATCCTTCTGCCTCTACCTCTGGAGCGCTGGGACTACAGCCCCGGGTCACCGCGGCCAGTGTGTAAGTGCTGGGACTAGAACCAGGACTTCCTCCACTCTCAGCAAGCCCTTGTCTAACTTAGCTACATCCCAGACCAGTTTTAGAATTCTTACTGTGTGTTTTGTGGTTACTAAATATTATCTCTTCTTTACTGGACTTAGGAACTTCGAAATAATAGTCCCACTACAGAGATAATGAAATCAGCATTTCCCCCAGCTCTCACTACTCACACTGTTTCTAAACCTCAGGCTGACATCCTGTGTGCCTCACCACTGGCCACATCTGTATCAGTTCCACTCCGGGTTTGGATGTGCCTTGTCATCCTTGCTGTGGTGGGGCTTCCTTCTCACGTCTTGCTTTCACTGAAGTTTATCTCTTAGTAGTTTTATCAGTATGAACTTTTGGAAACAGTGTTTCAGTTCTTGAATGATTAAGAATGTTTAGCACTTAGGATTTGAATGTTTGTCTTCTAACACAGATTATGTTAAGAAGTTTGAGGCTGGGCTAGGGGATGGAGCTCAGTGAGACTGCTTGCCTGGCGTGCATGAGGACCTGGGTTCGATATCTAATGCCAAAAGAAAAGTTTTTACTGGGAACATGATATTTTCTTTTGGGGGGTGGTGATGAGGACAGGCTAGGTCTCCACTAGATTCTGACTGTCTTGATGAGTTACAGTCATCGGTGAGGATACATATCCTTGTTGACTGTACACTGGTCTCCAGGACCCAATATATGCTTCCTACAAGTCAAGCCCCCTTTTCTTTTGATACTTTCCTCCCTCTTGTGTGCCTGGTCCTGAGCATCCCTCTCTCTACTCTCTTCCCTGGATTCCATTGTCCTGGGCATCAACTTCCCATGCGTAAGAGCATCTTCTTCGCTGGGAACCTATGATGCCCTCTGCCAGCCTGGCCCCACAGTCAGGCACTGATTAGCCAGTCTTGCAAAGCTGGCCCCAGGTAAGTTCTTTATTTCTACAGCTGAGTGTGTGGAGGTGGAGGAGGAGCACTGGGACACTGCCATGTGCAAGGGCTGTGAGGGTTAGGGTTCCGCGAGATGTGTCTGTGCATGGCCCACAAGTGCTCTAGGTCTTTAGATTTCTGTTGGTGATTCCTCCATGGCTGTTTCTGACTTTACATCAGTTCCTGTAGGTACTTCCTCTTTCAGGAACTTCAGGGACCACTGAGATAACCCTGCTTCCACATCTGCCTAAAGGCAGATACCTGTGATGTACAGTAATACTGCTTGGGGGATGTGAACCAGTGTTTCCGGGCTGGAAAGAGCCCTGATAGGTCTTCTCAAAGCCAAATACAGCAAACAGTTTCCCAACACTCCTGCAGGGGCGTGCCTCAGAGCTACAGAAGCACGTAGCCACTCAAAGCCTTGTCTACAAATGCAACATTGTTTATAACGGCCCAACATAAAAGCAACTCAGTGTCCATCGTCTGCTGGTCGCTGAACAATCGGACTCCATCCGTGCATTGCAGTATGAACTGGCAATACCCTGGAATGGGTACTGAGACATGGGCCATTGTGATCTTTCTAACCAAATCAGCCATCCGACAGAGAGCATGTTTTACAGGCCTGTGCTTGTATGGAATGCCTGGAACACAGCTGGAGGCAGTTGATCAAGGGACATCTAGGACCAGGTGGGAAGGAGGTGACTTCCAATGGTAGAAGATTTTCCTTTGATGACGAAGGTGTTTTAAAGTCAGATTAGGGCTGTGGTTGTGCAACTCTGTAAATATGTTAAAACCATTAGGTGGTATGTGGTAAGTGCGAGAACTCCATGGTATGTAAATGATATTTCCACAAAGCCATTCAAAATTGGGCAAAAGTAAACACAGCTCAGCACATATTGCTGAACTTCTTAACACGCAAGACATAAACCCACTGGTTGGTGGGTGTGAGTCATCTGAATGCCTCAGACAGATCAGAGCAGCCGCGCTCTTCCTAAGGGTGTTTGATGAGGGTTAAGTGCTGGTAAGTGTTGCTGAGAATGTTAGTTTGAGGTTAAGCTTTTGTTACATCCCTATCGCCAACACCCTTTCCTGGTGTGGTGGGAGTGAGTGTACCGCTCAGGGATGGGAGCCTGATCCCCTGAATGACAGACCTTCCCTTATGCCTGCTCTCTCAATGCTGGCCCTCATGGCAGCCTGCTTTGAGCATCTTCAGATCCCATCTGGAACCACAGCAGCTGCAGACAAGCATCACCGCTCTGCACACACTCAGGAGGCCTTGCCCGGGTCACCCCTGCTCCAGACAACCTCACCTGTCTTGGAAGACACCAATACAAGCCTTGGTGAACTCTAGATGGCCCTGCTTACCCTTCAACCGTTCTCACCCAGGCCAGGGGGGGGGGCACGTACCCTAGGGGCTCAGTAGAAAGCTTGTGAAGAGTGTATGGGGGTATCTATGATGGGTCCATACCAATGCCACGCCCTCTTTTGGTGTTATAACCAGGCTGCTTGTCTTACTTTTCAAGTACGTTCAGAGATACCCTCCTGTACTGTGTCCAGACGTTGTAACATTACGCCCAACGAAAGACTGCCTGCCAGTGGTTTTTCTTGCCTGGAGTCACCTTTGTCATGGGGGAGAGCAGACTGAGACAATGGCTACCGTGACACACAGCAGCCATGTGAGTGGGAGCGATACTGTGCCAGGGGCAGCAAAAAGTAGCTTCAGGAATTCCTGAGGCAGGAAGTCAGGGATGGAGACAGAGGAGGTGAGGAGAGACAGTGTGAGAAGGAGAGAGAAGGCTGTGAAGAGTCAAGTGGAGTTGCTGTAGGCCCTGGTCTCCAGGAAGAGAGCCAGGACTGCTGCATCCGAAGGGTCAGGGCATCTGGCACCCAAGGCCTGAGCACCACAGCTCTAGATGCTGGCAGGAGCTGAGTGTCTCAGGGCTCGAGTGGGAGCACTGGCCGTCACCTCCACCCACCTGCTGTCGCAGACACCGCTATAAGCCACGAACCACTGGGTGCTGAGTGAAGGACCACTGACAGCCAAGGTCCAGGGCAGTAGTGTAAGAATACAGACCGGAGCACCTAGCTGGGTCCGTCTCTGGCCTTTAGCGTCTGGAGCCACGGGTCTGTAGTTCTCAGGACCCAGAGCTAGAAGCCCCTGGGGCCATTAGTTAAACTGAGATTTCTTGTCCCTCAAGGACCCATCTACTGATGAAACTGTCCTTTGTCAATTTGTGACTTTTTCCAGATAGAGAACCCTGGTAATAAATACCCCAGGCCCAGAAAAAACTTCATGGAGTCCCTTAGTACGAGGTAAGAGCCCTCAAATCTTGTCTTACGGGTTTTTTTTCCCCTAATAATTTACTGAAAATTCATCCCACTGATTCTTGCAGATTTAAATGCTAACAAGTGGGACTAGCATCTAGCTGATTATGGTTTGCATTTCTGAGTTTCTCAGTCTCCCACTGTGGATGAGCAGGCCTGCTCCTCACTCTCCTGGTCCCCACTGTGCTAGCCTCCTTTGTGAGAACCGGCATCCTTCCCAAACGAACATGGTGAGATCCTAGGTTGTTCTCACTGGAGACTGTTTTAAGTTTATAGGGTTGCTGTAATATGCACCCCTAAATCAGTGGTCTAAGTTGACACAAGTCTGTTCTCTGACAGTTCTTAGGGGTGGAGCCTTTACATGGAGGTAGTGCTGGAGGCAGTGTGTGTGTGTGTGTGTGTGTGTGTGTGTGTGTGTGTGTGTGTGTGTGTGTGTGTGTGTAGTTGCCTGGCCTCTCTGATGGCTCTTGGAGAATCCATTTCCTGGCCTTTCCTGTTTTTAAAGCTGCCTCTGTGTCTCCACCATTCTGTCCTAGGTCTGTCTGTCCTTGTCCTATGGCTCTGACCTTTCCATTCATGGGTATCACAGGCTGTGGTTTGTCTGTTCAGCAGTTGCTACTAGGCAGGCTGCTGACAGACAGCTTCTTGTTTCTGGGTGGGGCACTGTTTCAGGGTACACCTGGGATCACTGTCAGAGGCCCAGGTCTAGTTCTCCAGGCAGACCTCCCCTTAATTGACATGCCTGCTGCCCCCTGGAGCTCAGGAGGGGACCATGGGACCTCAGATGAGGTGTTGGCTACTCTGCCCACTGTCCAAGCCTTCCCCTCCTAGTCTTTCTATAGTTCTCCCAAGGGAGAGTCTTTCATAGAAGGCAAAGGAAGCCCATGAGGCCTGCCTGCCAGTGAGTCAGGTGCCAGGCTTACAGGGCATGGCTCTGCATTTGGTCATCAGGCTAAGGACTTATCCAATCTCAGACCCTCATCTACAGTCTAGGAGTGGTGGGTGGGGTCTCATAGGTCTGGGAGCACTGTCAACCAAACACAGATCGATGGGCCTATGTCTGTGTATGTAGGTTAGGGTTGGGACTGGGAAGTAAGATCTGCACACATGGGCCCCCTGAGAGTAAGTTCAGCCACGGCGAAGTGAAGCACAAGTCAGACCCGTGGCATCTCTCTGGCCGCTCTCCACAGACGCATGCTGCCACACCCTGAGCAGCAGCTGGTGTAACCTTGCCTCCAGGAGAGAACCCCAAGGTCCTCCTGGGGTAGTCTTTGAACCTCCCTTGACTAGGGCCCTGCTTGGGAGACTGCTTTCTGTCTGTGGGATATCCCTCCCCCTCTGGGCTTGTGCCTTATTGCCTCACAGGAAGACATTAGAGAGAAGCTGGCCAAGCCCCAGCCTGTCCCCTTTGATGTCTCTGTCCTCTAACCTCCCAGGCTGGGCTTTGTCTGGGCAGGCAGCATGCCCCCACCTTCTCAGCTGTGGGTCCCCGAGGGCAGCGACAAGGGCACCTGCCTGTCCTGAGGGCAGTTGCAGGGTCCAGCCCAACTTACCTGCTTGTCCTGACGGCCAGGTTCCTTTTCCTATTCAGAAACTTCTCCTTTGCTCCCTACTGCTTCCAATCCCCAAATAGGGAAACTGAGGTTGGGGAAGGGAAGCCATGGGTGGAGAGCAGGGGTAGGGGTCTCTGATTCTTGGCCTGGGGTCTCCCTGGGACAGACCTGAGTTCTTGGCTGGGCTCCTTCTCTTTGCAGATCCATGAGGCAGTTTGTGGGAAAGCCCAGCTGTTGGGGGCAGCCCAGCTGTTGGGGGGGCAGCCCAGCTGTTGGGGGGGCAGCCCAGCTGTTGGGGGGCAGCACAGCTGGCTGCTTTGTTCAGGAGATGATCACATCTCAGCCTTGTGGACCTCACATAAGTGATTCTGCTGATTGGTCTGAATACCACGGTAAGACAGATGCCCAAGAGGGCAGAGGTCCCCGGAGCAGTCCTAGTCCCGGGGGGCCTAGGCTAGTACAATTCTAGTGTAGATACACCCCAGTCCTCCCTACATGGTCCATACCTCTACGTCTACTTATTGCGAAAGGTGTTCCGATGCAGGAAATGCAGGAGGAGGGTGGCTAGAGAAGGCCGGAAGCTTTGGAAAAGGCCTGTCTTCTACCTCGATGAGGCAGCTGTATGGTGGTTTCATAGCCTCCTTCCCAGGCACCTTGGGGACAGGGCTCAGCCACCTTCCACCCCTCCTTCTGAGATGCCTCCTCAGGCTGGAGCTGGGCTTTAGGATGTGCTTCATGTGTGAGAGACTTACCTAAGTGGTTCTAATGTAAGGAAAACCCTGAGAGACACTTCCTGTGTTCACTGTAAGGCACAGGAAACGGAAGCCAACTGTGGGGTGAGGGAGGGGCCTCTGAGTCTGCACGAAGCCACTGGCCTAGCCCAGGATTCTTTAGCTCTCCTAAGACCTGGATCTTGGCAGTGGCCAGCTGGGCTCATCTGCCATGGTAGAAAATGTCTGGTCCTATAGGTATGGCTCAGACTCCTTATAAGCCTACCTCTTACTGGACTCTGTCCTGACTTGGGCAGGACAACTGGTCTACCCAGGAATATTCAACTCTTTCATGTCTAATAGGGTTCAGAGATGGAGGCCTCCTGCTCTGTAGCTGGTACTCAAGTCTGATCAGGCCATCCAAGACCAAATACCAGGATCAAATGTGTTGTGTATGAGACACCTGCTTCCCTCTGATACAGAAAGCTGGAAGGCCATGTGATCAAATGTTGCACTCTTTTTACTTAATACACATCAGTTTCTCATTTTGTAGATACTGTCCTAGAGGTATTTGTGACTAATTCAGCCATGGCTTCTTGTCAGGTGAGTGCTGTGAGCAAAGTTCTGGATACTTCATAGGTTTCTCAGGATTGTTGCAGTCATACGAAGCTTCTGGAAGTCCCCTCAGGTTTAAGACAGACTTAAAGTTTGTTCTGGACACTGGAGGAGGTTGGTTTTGTCTTCCTGGTCCACAGCCTGTGGGTTCTTTCTTATTATGAAGCTGGTCTAGGCTTGGATACACTTGGGAAACTTCTCTGAGGCTGACCAGAGCTTTTTCCAGAAGACAAGTCTTGGCTCGTTCTCTGCCGCAACTCAGCTTGATACCGCAGATAAGGGCATCAGAGACAGAAGATGGACCTGCCGATCCCCACCATCCCTTGTGGTCACTTGCTTTCAGTGTGGGATATGCAGGGTCAGCTGTCCACTTCTGGTCTGTCATTTATCTATGATCTAGGGTACCCCATCTACCATCCTTTGAGGGAGACAGCAAACTGGGCTGAGGGACTTTAATTAGTGTGGTTAAGGAGGTTGGAACTCCTAGAGGCCCGAGAAACCCCATTCCTGACCAGCCTAGACAGCACTACGAGACTTCCACTGCTCTATTGTCCACAGCCTGCAGGTGGCCCAGTTTGGCTCTGGTAGTCTTGGCTACTTGAGGATCTCCCTCCTGTGTGTGCCTTGCCCCTCTCATTGCCCCCAGTGCCACAGAAGCAACCTGGTATTGAAGACTCCTCTGCCAGCTCCACACACTAGTGGTCCCTGAAATCTCCCTTCAGAAGTCCCACAGGGCCATTAATCTCTGCAGAGTCATTTCAAGCCTCCTATCTCTGGGGCATCTCTGTTTGTCCCACCAGCAGCTGCCAGAGCCAAAAAGCAGAACAAGGTTTTATTGCCCTCTCCATATTCATCTCCAGTCTATTGTCCAGTGGCCCAGTCAGAGTTTGAGCTCCACCCTGGCCCATACCCCAGCTTCGATCACTAGTGTGTGCCCTGAAGTGGTCCTAGCCTGTTTCCGGCCTTCACTCTTGGTGACCAGAGTCAGGGAAGCCTGATCTCTGAAGTCCTTTCCAAAACCTGAGGCTTGGCGGTCACTTGGGGGGCCATGGGTCCTGCCGTATATACCTGTCTGACACTCTTTCTGCTTCTCATGGTTCAGTCAGCCCCCCGCTCCAGTGTCCTTTTCTAAGGCTCAGTGGCAGCCCCTCTGGACACTTTGTTCTGAGCTGGGCTGGCCAATGGTAATAGCTGACTCCATAATTGATGTTCCTGTCAGGTGCTCTGGTGGTGGGCGCTTCTGTGAGCCTCAGCCTCCCGAACTGCCGAGGAGGCAGAAAGTCTCAACTTGTTAGGTGGTGTCTTGGATAGGCCTTGTTGGTCCTGGTGAGGGAGGGTGTGGCGTTTGGGGAAGGTCTGCAGGTCTGGCTGCCTTTGCACATGTCTCCTCATGGCTGAGGAAAACCATGGGGAGGCCCTGCCTGTGTGCTGGGTAAGGGGTCTGCAAGGAGACGTGAGCTGATTGTGGCTTTCAATCAGGGGTCCAGGAACCTGGTATAGTATGTGCCAGTTGGCTACTGCTGGGTGAGTGCTGTGATACTCCTCAGTTGCCCCTGGGACCTCTGGCTAAATCTCTCCCAACCTCTCATCCTTTCTGGGCCTGACAGAATCTCTGCTTGTACAATTCCAGTGAGCACAGTGCCTCAGGCCCCAGAGGCTGGGGAGGAGCCTGGATGTCCCCAAGTCTTCCCAGGCCCACAGTGTTCGTGAAGGCCATCGTAGTAGGTGGGGCTGCTCCAAGCTGAGGGCCCCTGGATGGCTCTCTTTAGTGGATATGACTTCTGGAACTTTCATCTCTGAGGTTCTGGGACTGGGGACATCATGACTCAGCAGTATGTGAGTCATTTTCAGATCCTACTGTGCAGCCACGAGAGGTTTCGTGACTCAGCTACTGTAAGGAGAGTGAGTCAGCACTCTCCTGGTGCAGGGTTGGTAACTCAGAGGTTATTAGTCAACATTCAGACATGCCTGAAACCCAAAGAGTCTCATTAAATCCAGGGATGACATCTACCTGTCTACCATGACCGCCCAGGATTTGACAAGGCAAAACTGTGCAAGGCAAAACTTAGAAACCTTCTGTGTGGTTCTCAGTAGTAATATGCTATTGTTTCAGCAATCATGCATAAGCATGTGTTTATATTTGTGGTGTAGAACTGTGCAAAAGTGTGCTTCAGTGGCCAGGGACTGAGAACACAGATGTGGAAGACAAGAGATCCAGTTAGGAAAACAGCTAATCATCCTCAATGCTAAGTTTGGGTGGGGCGTAAATTTCGGGACTACTATTTCTTTTCAAACTTTTTCCTAATTCTGCAGAGAAGGCTGGGAAGCCAGGATAGATGGCAGGAGGAACCCAAGTGCATGTGTGGCTGGAAACACTGAGACATCCTGACTCTCCCTGGGAGCCTGAGTGTGTGTTCATGCAGACGTATATGTGCTAAACAGCAGCAGCATTGCATGGGAGGCTGAAACAAAAAGATTAGCAGCTGAACAAGTGTGGACCCGGAGAAGCAGCAGGTGCAGAAGGCAGTATGCTCCTGACTTCTTGCCATCAACATCAGCAGTGACCTCCATGCATGCTAAGCCATTGCAGGCTCCAGAGCATATGGATGTGCATCTCTTGCTGTTCCACAGGATGGTTTAGAATCTGCCACTGGGCAGAGGTTTCTACCTTGATGGGCAGTTGCTGCAAGCCAGCCTGGCTCACATTGAGAATGAGGCATTCACCAGCACATCACCAACTAACCCATTCACTGAGCAACCAGTGGAAGTTTGCTGTTCCATGCTGCAGTGGGTAAGGATTGCCTCCCAGGTGCATGGAAGCAGACCTCAGATGGGGAGGCAGTATTTGAGGGCATTACCCATTGTGGGCATCAGGGACATCCATGGCTAGCATAGGACTTACCTGTGGGCGTGTTATAAGCAGGGTGTTGGGCCTGAAGAGAGGGGCCTCCGTGACACCCACAGAGGGCTGGGCTCTGTGCTTAGGAGTGCAGGGGAGGCTAGGCACCAGATAGAGGGGCCTCTGGCACAGGACATGATCTTCAGTGGCTCTCAAGTGCAGCCTAGAGGACTGCCAAGATGGTCTGTGGTAGGTGGGAATTTTCCAGGAAAATAGACATGGTTGGGGGGCCCAGAAGCTGCCTGACTCCCACCATGGAGGCTGCCCAGGTATCCAGCCTGGTGAGAGGAGATGTTGGAGACCCATGGGTGGCTGCTCTTTGCCACCTTACAGCTTCTCATCTGGGGCTGCCTCCCCAGCAGGCTCTGGGAGTCCCCTGTGGGAGAGCTGCAGAAAGCAGGTAGCTGGTATCACTGTGTTTTTGTTGCACAGGCATTGAACTGATCTTAAGCATGACTCATCTCCCTATGCTCCAGAGCAGAGAGCCAGAAGTCAGAGTCATCCTTAGGGGACAAAGTCTACTTTCAGTATCTGACTTTTGGGGGGAATATTGTGTGTTTCCAAAGCCAAGAATGGCACGCTAAGACTCTTCTGAGGCCTTTAGTTCTCTGGTCTCTGAGGAACCAGGGGTGATGAATTGAAGAATATTGGAAACAGATACATGAGGTTCAGAAGCAGAGAGGATACTTGACAGAGTGGTGACAGCTACCGCAGGTGAGGTCGCCTGTCTCTGGTCTACACTGTGGACTCAGAGCTGTGTCGCACATGCTACTGCTGTACTTCTAAGGGAACACGGGCATTTTCATGCACGTGCGTTTTACTCAGTTGGCTTTTTATTGGATAAAAAAATGTGTAGATCAAGTTCACAAAACTGTTCAGCCTGATGCATTTAAACCCATGAGTGTGAGCATGCTCCTGAAACCACCGTCCAGGCAGGAAATGGGGTTTGGGTGCCCAGCAGCACTGTTCTGACCCTGTAGATGAGACTGCCCAGCTTTGACTGTCACATTAGTCAAATTGTGCAGCATGGATCCTGGCTTCTTTTGCTCAGAGTGTGTTTGTGAGGTTCGTGGGCTCGTTGGGATAGAAGTGTATTGTTTTTTTACTGCTGTATTTAGTTGTGTGAAAGCACATTGTTTGCAAGCTTTCCTCTGGACTCAGAACCAAAAGATGCTTGCTGTCTATAGTCAGACATGTCTACAGTACACTCACTATGTGGGTGCTTCATAGATAGGAATATTCCACTTCAGAAGGCATGGCCAGGAAGCTACTCAGGAATGGTATGGACTTCACACTCTCTCAGAAAGTGATTCTCCCTTAATCTGTTTCAACCCTCGAGGCCTAGAATCATCAGACCTTTCGATTTTACTGGTGGCACGGGAGTCTTAAATTCTCATTTCTGGAATGACCAACATTTTCACGTTCATCTACCTTTTTGCGAATGCTTTTTCAAGTCCTTTGCTCATTAAAGGAAACCAATTTTCAGGTCTTGAAAGATGGCTCAGTTGTCAAGAGCTTGTTGGGCAAGCATGAAGCCCCAGCACCGGCATAAAAACAGGGTGCAGTGGATCCCTGGAGCTCGCTGACCAGCCAGTGTGGACCATAAGTGAGCTCCAGGTTCAGTGGAGGGTGACAGGGGAGGACACGTGACTGAGACCTCTGGCCTTTACATGCATATACACATGTGCAGCCTTGCACCCTTCCCCCAGTGAACAGGCACACACACACACACACACACACACACACACACACACACCACAGAGAGGTGTACTGTTCTATTGTTGACTTTTAAAAGTTCTGTGTAAACATTTTGTGAGAGGAGTCTTGCTGTGTTGTCCAGCCTGGTCTAAAACACTTGAACTCCAGTGATCCTCCTGTCTCAGGCTCCTGAGAGCAGCTGGGACTATTGGCAGGTGCTTCTTCCTGGCTATGGCAGTTGTTGATATATACCAGAGACTAATATGCTTTATTGGATATGCATGTATATATATGAGCATATAGAACATATTAACATACTTTCTCACTTCTGGGATGACTGTGTTCACCTACCACTTTGTGAATGCTTTTCCAAGTCTTTGCTCATTAAAGAAAATCAGTTTTCAGGGTTGGGGAGATGGCTCAGTGAGCAAGGAGCTTGTTGTGCAAGCATGAGGCCCTGGGTCTGGATCCCCACACTTGCAATTACACACACACACACACACACACACACACACACACACACACACACACACACACATCAAGGCTGTTAAGAGAAATAGAACTAATTTGATACAGAAGTCCTCTGTGTCCACAGTGTACTGATGTTAAGATTCCTTAAATTTCAAGGTCCTCTGATGCTGAAGTTACATAAACCTCTGAAGTATTTGGGCAGAGCCTGGGCCATCTTTCCATGGACTTGGCATCATCACTGAGTGACTCTCAATCCTTGACATAGGGTAAAGGTATGGGAACAGCCATTCTCTTCTACTGTTTAGGGAATTAAAAAGTCAGGAAGTGCTGAGTACAAATGAAATTTCACTTCACATTTTGTCGTCTCCACAGGTATCGATCCCACAAACATGGAGGGCACCCCCGCCCCGTGAATATGCAACTGCTATTGACCCTGTTTCTATGGAGACCACCAATCAACACAGTGTGGATTCAATGAAAGCATATGTGTAAAATGAGGACTTGGCTTGTGACCTTATGGAGGCTGAGAGGTCCCATGGTCTGCTATATGGCACCTGAGACCCAGAGCACCCTGTGGTGTAACTCAGGCCATAAAATGGGCGCAGAAGTGAAGAGCAAAAAAGATTCTGGGAAGGTGGACACTGGCAGTTCAGCTTCATATGCCCTTGGCCCAGCCCCGGACTCACAGAGGCCCTTCTGACATGTTCCTCCTCCTTCTCCGCTTCCTTCTTGAGCAGCGTCTACCTACTCTTTGCTCTGACCTGGTATCTCCCTGGGACCTCCTGGACATGGCCACCCATCCCTGATCTCATCTAGATATTTACAGAGTTCCCGCTCTCACAGTGATGACATCTCTGAGGACGACGTTCTGCCTGGCCATCCACCGCATCTCAGCATCCTTCAGGTACCACTCACGTCATTAGCCGCACATAGCTGTGCTGGGGATGGAGAGAGAGCCAGGAGGACGAGGAGAGACCGCAGGAAGCGGTAAGACTCTAACAAACTTCAGGGGTGTTCAGGAATGGATGCTATGGCTACAAGCAGACAGTCACTACCTGTGGAGGGATGGTTTCCCTGGACAATTTTAGTCAGGATTCCCACTCCCTTACTTAGTATTCTCATTGCTCCCATTTTCCAAGGAGCCGTGATTATCACTGTAATTGATCCTTTGATTTAGAGATTATATAGTTCTTTTCCTTTGCTTGCTTCTTGTTGTTGTTCTGGGAAAGGGCTTTGTGTAACCCGGACTGCCCTGGAACTCACTGTGTAACCAATGATGATCTTGAATTTCTAATCTTCCTGCCTCCAACTCCTAAGTGATGGCATCACAAGCGTGCCCCGAGCCCTGGTTTTAGACAGTGCTAGGGATTGGAGCCAGGGTTAGCTAGGCAAGTGATTTACAAACTGGACCACGTCCCTAGCCACCCTAGGGTTCTTTTGAACAAACATCTAAGGAAGTATTTGTTATTTTAAAATTTTAACTGTCATTCAAAATGTATGTCTACAAAGTCTACTTTGGGGGTGGGTTGTCTTAGAATCTGCTGTACAAATTGAGACGTACAAGATATATAGTCACATGCACTACACATTATCTTGCAGCCTAAGTGGGTTGCGTTTTTGAATAGTGCCCTAGACTGCTTTCCTTTCCTAACCCCAATCTACCCTCTCCCCAGGCTCCCACACACTAATGTCCAGGATGAAAATATAGTGCTTAGAAACAAAACCAAAAAATGAAATAATTTATGCGCCATGATGGCATTCACATGAAGAAATTTTGAGTTTTTCCTTTTTTAGAATTTATTAAGATGCTCCTTGTGGTTAACTGAGTGATTGGCATAGGAAAATCACATAAGTGCTGGGGGAAAAGGTGCTGCCAGCTTCGAGGATCGAGAGTGAACCTGTTACAGAGTTGAAACATACATGCTGGTGTAAGAACGCCACGTGACTACAGGTGTGTTTTCGATCTCAATGCATTGCACTAGCCAAGACTTCCAGATCTTTGTGGGCAGAAGGTCATTTCTGAACACACAGATGAAAGGAGATGGCTTTGTATCCAAGTTAAGGGTGGTTGTCAAGATGCCTTTGGCCATCCCAGGTGCTTTCCCACACCTGCATGGGCATTGGCTTCCTAGGAGGTCCTCAGTCTACTAAGGACTCTGATTACACCTTCAATCCACGAGGCTGGTGTAGACCCAAGGATGAGACAGGTCCACAGGAATGAGAAACTCCACGTGCCCCAGGAAGTGTTGGGATTGTAATTTTCTCTGAGGTCCCCCAACTCCCTGGAATTCCAGGAGAAAATGGGAAAAGGATGAAAGCTATGGATGATGATCTCATGTATCCCAGACTGGCCTTGAACTTGCTATGTAGGACTGGGGATAGAGCTCAGTTGATAGAGTGCCTCCTTAACATGCATAGGGGCCTGGGTTTAGTCTCCAGCACCGCATACGCCAGGCATGGTGGCACATACCTGCAATCACAGCACTTTGGAAGTGGAAGCAAGGGCATCAGAAGTTCGAGACCAGCTTGGATACATAGCAAATTGGAGGCCAGCTTGGGATACATAGTATCATATCTCTAAGGCTACTGGAAGTTCAGTAACTCCCCAGGACTAGTTGCTTCAGTCAGCTCCTCTCCGAAGGGTCCTTCTCCCTGCCCCCAGATGTAACCTCCTGTCTCTCAGCCTCCAAAGAATCGTACTGTTAACTGCTCAACTCTGAATCCATTTCCAGCTCCCCCTTAGCAACTTCCCATCCTGCCATTGGCTCTGATTTATCAAGTTTGGTGGAGACAGGTTTGGACAAGGTTGGGAAGGGGTTGGTTTACTCAGCTGCCTGCCCTAGGAGGAACTTGGGCCCAGGAGCATTTCCTGGGCACCCCTGGGAGGATGCTATCCCAGCAGCCCTCACAGAGGTCCTTACCCCTTTGGTGCTGGCTCTGGCCCTGTACCCAGCTGGTGCTGGCAGGGTGGAGGTGTCAGGGCCATTCTCCAGGCATGGGGGCAGAGGCCAGTTGGTTGAGGCATGTGGCTGGGTACTGAACAGTGAGGGGACATTCGGCAGGGCAGCATCTGGGAATGAGTGGTTCTGCGTTTTGCAGGTCTGGCTCACAGACCCTCAGGTTCCTGGCTGGCTCTCCCTCTTAATTAGTATCAGTCCTCCAGACGCCAGCTCCCACGTGTTGTCTGCCCCTCCAGATAGGCAGTGTTTGGTTCTTATCCTTACTGGTGTCTGGGTCCAGGAATGGGGGCGGGGCTATGAGGCATACAGGGCAGGCGACATTCTGACCCGAAGCTCTCTGTGCCAAAGTTTCAATTTCTCAGGGGGGCTGCTCACTGTGCGCTGCTGGAGAGGGGTCTGTGCTGTGTACACCATTCAAGACACTCGAGGTCAAGGCCCTTTTTATTTCTTTCCATTCTGCTCCCCCCCCCAACCCTTTGACTTTCCTTCCCTTCCTGGTCTCTAGATGAGGGGCCAGGCAGAGCTGTCCATGGCCTCTGTCATCTGCTTGCCTGCGTCCCTCCTCTTCTTGCCTTCCCTGTCATCGCTGTCCTACGTTGTCTAGGAGTCACGTTAGCTTCACAAAAGGGCAGAGGTATAGCCAGAGAGTTCTGTGCCGACCTTGTGCTGTTGTAACCACAGCCTTGAGTTTTTCTTCAGCAGGCATTCCGAGGACTGACCAAGACAGAGGTACACATGGGGGTGTCTTTGTTTCTTGTCCCCAAGAACTAAATGCCAAGTGGGTGCTGTGAGTTTAGTGCCTCCCAAGGAGCTGAGGGGGGTGGGGCAATTAATCGCTCCACAGTACCAAGGGCATCTGGAACTACAGAGCCTTGAGCCACACCCCCTCACCCTGCCTCTGGCTTTATGCCCTGCAGCTGTCCTGTGGTAAAATATCCCCAACTTTTCCGTGTGACATCTTCCTGCTCTCACTCCTTCTGTGGATCCACCATGGGGGAGGGGCTGGGCTTCCCCGTGACACTTGAACAGCCTCCATCCTGTGGGGAGCTGAAGAGGGCCGGGGCTGTTGCACATGTCCACTCTGTCTGCCTGCTCTGAGCACTGGGGTGACATGCTTAATGAGGATTTGCTGAGGGAGGGAGAGAGGAAGGGAAGAAAAGCCTGCAGACATGGCGTCAAGCACAGAACAGAAGAAGGTAACCACAGCGTCAGAACGGACATGCTTCAGGGTCTGGAATATGTAAAGAGCACCTCAGATCACTCACGGAACCACAGGTGACCAGACAGAGCATCAGGCACAGCGTTGGGACTTCCACTTCCAGAAGAGACGAGGTTGTCCAGAGGCACAAGAACAGTATCCAGGCTCACAGTGTGAGGGAGGTGTGGTTAAGGCTACAGCTGGTGACCAGTACTGGGCCGCACAACTGGCAAAAAGAAATACTGATGTTGTGCTGGAAGCAGAGACTGCTTTCACTGAGTGTAGGCCAGTCAAGTCCCTTTGGGAAACTGTTCCACAAAGCTTTGTGGCACTAAAGATCCCAATACACAGCTCAACCTCTCTGTGTCTATACACGCCCCCCCCCCCCAAAAAAAAAAAAAACCAGGCAGATGAAAGGACACCAAGATAGCTTACAAATAGCCCTTACCTCTTGTCCCAGTATCCAGAACCCAGAAACATCTGGAAAGGCCACCAAGAGCAGATGGAGGTACATGTGGTATAGGTATCCAGTCAGAGACCAAGCTTGTTGATCCATCAGACAAATGGATGGCACTATGGGCTAGCCACAATTAGCCACTCCAGTGGACACCATGGAGCTAAAACTATTAAGTCACCTGGCTGAGGAGGTAGGAATAACCTTACGTCAAAAGGACACTGGGAGACCCAGGCACCAGCTCACAGCTGCTGGGGGTTTGCCATGTGTCTTTCCAAAGACCCGGGGAAATGAGTGTCAGTGGCCTAGCCTAATAACCAGGGGCTGGCTACATCCAGGCGAGCCTCAGCTTCTACCCTGCAAGTACCAGCTCTCTGCAGAAACAGGCTGAATGTAGCACATCCCAGTTTAAATACAACCTGGAGCACTGGGGAGATGATCTTTTCCTCCAGAGACCCTGGGTGCTGGTAAGGGATGCTCCTCTCTAGGGTGGGGCTGGTAGCCCTTGGGGTGCTGAGCCCCTGACCGGAAGTCTAGCTACCGCTGTGCTGAGGGGCAGGGACAAAGCTGGGTGCCTCTTTGGGCTGCTGAGCCTGCATGAGGCCAGATCATCTGCACCATCTTGATTTAGAGGACTGTAGACCCTCCTCGGTCCAGGAGCCTGGTGCTCCCTCCCTTGAGACCTTGGCTTTTACCGCGTCCACAGGCTCTTCACACGCCATCGTAAACGTGAGAGGAGGGTGTTTACCAGAGGAGACCTTACAACATGGCTGGAAGCTGCCTGAGTGGGTCCCTTCCCACCAGTTTCTCCGAATGACAGTCTGTGATAATGTGGTTAGCTGCATCACTCCTTAGGAATGTGGCTCCAGTAGCAGCAGCAGCAGCAGCAGCAGCAGCAGCAGCAGCAGCAGCAGCAGCAGCAGCAACCGAGTGTGTACGAGCTGGGGCCTTACCAGGCCCCTGGGGTAAGGGTACCATCTTTCTCTGGTCCCCAGGACTGTTGTTCTGAGGACATTTTGGGGGCCGGGTGGCTGGTCTGTGAGACATTCCATGGGACACACCCTCATCCTGGCCATCTCTGGATATCCCAACAGTTACCCCTGTCTTTCAGCCAGGTAGCCCTAGGCCTCAGAATCACACATGTGGCCAGGAGGACAAGGCAGAGGCAGGCAGGGACAGCACATGCAGGCCTTTCGGGCTCCAGGGTTGGGAGGGGTGTGGAGACTTGGGCTCAGTACTGGTCAGAGCACCATTAGGACCATTGCTCTGCGAAACACTGGGCCCCACAGACAGAAAGGACCATGGGGGAGGCAGGGGTAGACGCTGGCCTCAGGCCAGTCCTGAGGCTTCCTGAGCAGGTGTTGGGGTCCAGACAGGCCTGCATCACTGGGTCTGCAGCTAGGGGTAAGAGCCTACTGGGGGGAGAAGGTCCCGGGGAAGGACAATTGAGGGGTGGGATTAGGGACCTTGATGTCACTGACTTTCTGATATCAGGACCGGGCATCTGTGTGTTCGGGGGTATGTTTGCCCTGGTAGGTGGTGTCTGTGTCCGAGTGTGATCTTGTACGAGGCTGTGTAGGTGTGGGAGACTGCCTCTGTGAGGAGTGTCCGCATCCGAGTATGCTCCTGTGAGTGTGAGGCAGTATGGATGGGGAGGAGTGTGAGGTACCTACAACCCAGTTTTCTACTCAGGAGGGCCCCAGAGCCTCTCTGAGCCAAAAAGCTCTTTATGCCTTGGTCAAACCACAGAGTCCTTCAGAAGTCTGGCCATAGTCTCTTTCAGCCAAACCCCCTCCCTTTGCAGACATTGTTTTATCGTATTTCTCAAGGTATGGGACACTGATGTTTAATTTATCAAGATGTCCATCATGGTATGTGAACTTTGTCATACATGTATACGGTCCACTTGACAACATAAGCCAGAGTGAGCTGCTCACCTGTGCCAGTATTGACTTCCCTTAGCTGACCTCTCTCAGGATGAGCAACTGCTGAATCCTAGGCCCTGATGTGGAGTTTTTCAACTCCCTGGGATGATCCTAGTTAAGGAAGTTATCGCCTGTCTGTCCCTCAGGAAAATGAATCGGGGGTCCCTGCCGAGCATCCAGATATGGGTATTACTCCGATGTACCCCAAGGGGAGCCCTGAGAAATAGAGCCAGGTCTCAAAGACCTACTTCCTTCCCCTCCAGAGCACGTTCTTACCTATTTCCCAGCCCAGGATGGGGGAGGAGTTTATGGGGCAGCTTGGGATGAGTGACTCCTGGTGGCTCAGAAGCCCAAATGGAGGGTACAGGAGCCATCATCAAGGAAGGAGGTAAAAATGTTACTCAATGATTTTCAGTAGTGTTTATGAATCTCCTGAGCCAGTGTCGGGGTCGCACAGATCCCTGCCCCATTTCAGGAGAACAAATGGTACCCTGCCTTAGATGGATGGGCTATCCTGCCTTCCCACAGAGGTGTCCCAAGAGGAAGGTAAGTTCTCTACCTTTGCATACAACAGCCCACCTCTCTGAGTGACCCAAGCTTGTATGGGGGTGAGTTTGGCCCAGGATCAGAGAGTCACCCGGTGTTCCAAGTGCCTGGAGGGCCCCTCTGGGACCTCGTCAGGAGCTGGGCTGTGGGTGGCCAGGCCCCTGGCTGTCCATCCCATCCCACTGAGGGCAGCATTCTGCTCAGGCGGAGCAGGTGCGGCCCCAGACAGCTGGGCTGCCCAGCATGCTTGCGGCGTGAAGTCAGCTGCCCGGCCCGGCCCGGCCACTGGCCGCACCCTGGCTATTTTGGGAGCCTCCAGCTCAGAGCCGTGCCTAGCTGTTCCCACCCCTGCAGCTCCTGGGAGTCTGGTCAGAGTGTGGACAATGCCCCTCTTGTTGCACATCTGTCCCTTCTCTAGAGCCCCTGCAGGCCTCTCTCCCCCATAGACACAGCTGGCCCTGCCGGAGGGCGGGGAGCAGTGCCAGGCAGGAGGAAGCTGGATTTATACCGGGTCTTAGGATCACAGCAGAACTGGCCCTTGAAGGGTTGGAAGGAAGAGGCTGGCAGGATGGCCTTGATAATATTCATGTTTAGGGAGTAGGAGCCTGACACCCCCAGATGAGTGGCGAGACCTACCCCATCATGGCAGAGAGGAGCTCTGGAAAGTTCTCTCCAGACCCTCTTACCCTATGCTTTCCCAAGCCCAGAGACTGTCCCCAGAGAGGTGGTCAGGGAATAGCAAGGTTTGCTGCTCAGCAGGGCCAGCCCTGCCTCTCGCCCACAGTTGGAAGCATGTGGAGGTTCTCTGCAAATGAAGAGCTGAATTGTTTGCCTCTCCTTTCAATGCCTGGACAGATTTCCAAGGACTGATGTTACAGAGTGCATCAGACTTGCTCCTGGATTGGAGCGTGTGCCCCTGAACATATACTCGGATCCTGGAATATGTGCCCTGACCTTGGAGCAGGCAGCCCTTCACCTTAGAGTATGTGCCCCTGGTCTTGGGGCAGGCAACCCTGTGCACAAGCAGGTATGGGAGAAGAGACCTTCGAGCATCTTTTCTGCTGGGCTGAGTGTGGCAGGTTGGAGTCTTCACTGTGGGTCAGGTGAGGGAGAGGATGCAATGCTGTGGGGTATTGTGGGATTGAGGCAGGAGGGCAGTGGGACAGGTGATTTTAATGTTAGGGTACTTTGGCAACAGGACCCACTGTGGAGTTCTAAATGAGCAGTGGCATGGGGGTTAAAGGTCAAGAGGGGAGGGTCAGAGGGCACTGAAAGGAGGTAGTGGAGATCACTAAGGATATGGTTAGCTTGAGAAGGCCAAAGGGCCAATGACATATGTTCATGGAACATGCTTCGTAGAACACCTGCATTCTACCACATTCCAGCCCAGAGACAGGCTGAAAGCTCTGGCTTCTTCCAGATAGGATCTGGCCCTGGGTACTAGATGCTTCGCCCAGGATCCACAGGTACCTGGGCCTAATCTGGAGTGGGGACAAAGCATGCTCCATGCTGTGGAGACTGTTCTGATATCTGCCTTCCCAGAATTCCTGCTGTTGGACCTCCAAGTACTGTCCCCCACCCCACATACACACAAACATACACCTTCTCCAGGCTCCTGTAGCAAAATCCCATAGACTGAATGGCTTATGAACAGTATAACCTCCTTTTCGCTACTCAGAGGGCCCTGAAATACAATCAAGGCAGAGGCAGATGCAACATTCTCTATGACATTGAGGGCCAAGTTTTCCACAGGTGATGCTGTGTCGTGTCCTCACATAGGTGGAGGGGCAAAGAGGCTACCTCTGTGTGCATCTTGGGGGGCTAGAGGTCAGCTTCGGGCATCTTCCTCAATTGCTCACACCTTAATATTTTAGATAGTGTTTCTTTTTCTTTCTTTTTTCTTTTTTTTTTTTTTTTGGTTTTTTTTTTCGAGACAGGGTTTCTCTGTGTAGCTTTGGGGCCTGTCCTGGAACTCACTTTGGAGACCAGGCTGGCCTCGAACTCACAGAGATCCACCTGGCTCTGCCTCCCGAGTGCTGGGATTAAAGGCGTGCGCCACCACCGCCCGGCTTAGATAGTGTTTCTTAATGACCCTGGAGCTCACCCATTCTGCAAGACTAACTGGCCAATGCGCCCACCCCAGGAGTCCTCTCATCTCTGATTCTCCAGAGCCAGGATTACAAGCATGCGCCACTGTGCCTGGCTTTTGATGCAGATGCTGGGAATCTGAACTCACGTTCTCAAGCATGCACTTTATCAACTGGGCACGAGTCACCTCTCCAGTCCTGGCTGTTTTATTTGTTTGTTGCTTGTCTGTTTTTGAGTCAGAGTCTGTCCCTCATTGGTGTGGACCTTGCCAAGTAGGTCAGTGAGCCCCAAGATTCCATCTGTTTCCATGTTGATAGTGCTAGGATCACAATGTGCATCACCGTGCTCAGCTTTTTTTTTTTTTTTTTTTTTAAATGTGGGTTCAACTGAGGTTCTCACCCTTAATAAGGCAAGCACTTTACTGATAGAGCTATCCCTCTAGCCACTTTTCTTCTTTTGTAAGGACTCAAATTCTCTCCGCAAGGGCTGTGTTTTCACGATGTACTCACCCCCAAAGGCTCTCAATGCTACAGTAGCGTCAAGTGTTAGGTTTCGGTATGTGAATTCAGGGGACTATTGTGGAACCATCTTTTTGTACACTCTGAAGATGTGTCACTCTGGTTGGTTTAATAAAGAGCTGAATGGCCAATAGCTTGGCAAGGTTTCCAGGCACAGAAGATGCTGGGAGAAGAAGGGCAGAGTCACAAGGAGATGCAGAGGAAGCATGCATGACATATAGGAGATGAGGTAACAAGCCATAGGCATGTTGCAGTATACAAATTAAAATAAATGGGTTAAATTAAGTTATAAGAGCTAGTAAGAAACAAGCCTAAGCTATCAGCCAAGCTTTTATAATTAATAATAAGTCTCTGTGTCATTATTGGGGAGCCAACGGTCCGGATGAAAAAAATTGGACTACAAGGGACACAAACATTCTGACCATAGGAACAGAGTAGTGGCCAAGTCCAAGGTCTGGCATATGTGGCTGTCTGGGAGCTGATGGTCAGGGGTCTAAGGGCTGTCTGGTGCTGAGTCTGGCTGGGCCTGCCTTCCAAGCCCTCAAGGTGAAGCCCTACTTGTTTCAATAGTCCAGAGACTCAGATACTCCATGCTTCCAGCCTGTGCAGTGTTTGCTGTCAGAATACTTCAGCTGCAAAATCCAGCAAGGAACCTCCTCCCTGGGAACAGAACAGGTACTGGGGAGCATGATCGTGGACGCCCTTGGAGAGAGATGAGGCAAGTACCAAGGTACCTGACAGGAACCTTGAAGCCACGGCGCCCTGCTCATGAGTCCTTTACTAGGGATGCATGAGTCCAACACCTTCAGGGTGGGGAGTCCTGAGCCCCAACAGGCCTCAGATGTGGGAGGTGGCAGG